GGGGGGGGGGGGCAGTTAATATTGTATATTAACCATAAAGATTAACAAAGAGCTAAGAATTTCAAGTTTCACAATTACACCCTAGAAGGTAGATGTGTATGAGTTGACTAAATCATTGGCCCTGGCCCAGCAAGCCAAATGCCCAAATGAAATTCCAATCCATTCTTAAGAGACCACTGTTAACTTAGTCAGTGATATGAAGAGAGGACACTCCCTGTATAGCAAAAAACACAAGCCGCTTGAATAACACTAAAATTGGGGTCTGAACGACATGGATAATTGGATAACACCATTCATGCCTGGAGAAGTAAGTTTCTCACCAAGATATTTTAATGAGCTGAATTCTCTTGCAAAGATTAAGTTCTAGCAGCAAAATGCCGTCATTAAATGTGTTCCTACTGACATGCTATCAAAACCAAAGAATGTGGTGTGCTGTGTCCATGAAGAGTATCTTCTCTGGAGTCAAAAACCATGACATGGTCAAATGATGACAAATAAATGGATGGATGAAGCAAAAAGTCAGGATTTATGCAATATTTTTTGTTTTGCTTAGACTAGACTTGCAGGGGTGGACAAAAGTAGGTTTACAGTTGTGAGCATGCAAAACAGTTTATTCTGGTATTGTTATTTATTAATTATTATTTATTTGTATTACAACTGTAAACCTCCTTTTCCCCACCCCTGTATATTAACTAGTTGATTAGCATACTGTAAATATTCTTTGGTATATCCAATGGATTAAAAATCAATTCTGCTTTCTAATCAACATAACTCATAAATAAAATCCTCCAAGAGACTGGGTGAGTAGTGTACAGTGCAATGGGCGGAGGAAGGAGGGTGAAATTGCTGAGGCAGTTACCTGTCCTTTGGAATCATACCATGAGACTCAACATTCCCAACTCCGAGGAGCCATATTCCATGATCTATTAGTTTTGCTTTCCATAGAGTTAATAAAAACTGTTCTATATTTGTCCTAGAAATAGCAAAAATGTCTAACATTTTCTGGGTTCACATTGCAGGAATCACTTTATAACAAATTAGAGGAATCACCGTTTGCCCCAAAGCACAAACAGAGGAATGTGAAGTCACTAAGCAAACAGCCTCCTAAAAGATCTGTTAATATTAAAGCATTTGAATAACTGTTTAAAGTTATTAACCTGATTTTTTAATGGTAAAAATTGACTCATCAAAAATATTAAACATTAGTTCACAAAATCATTCATCTTACTTTTTCAACAAGGCCTACATAGTCTTTAAAATTTTAGTTAGGATTTACCAAGGCAAATTATGTTAAAAATGATATTCAAGGAAGAAAGAAATATATAAATGAAATGATTTTAAGGGCATAAGTAAGTTTTGAATGAGTGCAAATAAAATAAGCCTGTAAAATAGCATTATAATACTACTTTAATCCTGCCTTTTCCTATTTCTAATGAAGAATCCTGCTTTTAAATTTGTGCAAACCATTCAGCTTTTCATTTGTTTCCATTACAATGGGCCCAGATGTACTCATATGTGGTTGTTACTAAAGGATAGGCACTCTTTTTCTTTCTTTTTATTACAGCTTGCAAGTTCCAAAACAGGACTAATTCAGAAGTCGACGTTCTGAATCAGATGTAAAGCACAACCTCGAATGTAACTACCTGATACTCATGATCCATAGCCAATTGCCATGGCTTCATCTTGCTGACCATGTCAGCTAACAGGTTCTAGGACTCAAGACTTTTAAGAAAAAACTTGCTCAAATTGTCTCCTTATTCATTTGCTTTCAGAAGAGAAGGTTTTGTATTTATATCTTATTTTACTCTGCTGTTTTGTTTTCAAAAAGGAGAATGTTTCTTTCATGATAGAAAAAAGGGTTAGAAGCATCTCTTAAGTCTCAGGTTTTGCTCAAAAAATGTATTAAAAATTATCCCAACAATAATCTCGTTCCTAAATTTGATCATGTCTATGGCTTGTTAAAAGCCATTTTTGAAAATACAGTTAACTCATTGCCCTTTCAAAAAAATAACTAGCCAGGCCAGTGTGGCCCAGCGGTTGAATGTTGACCCATGGTCACAGTTTGATGCCCAGTCAGGGCACATGCCCAGGTTTCGGGCTCGATTCCCAGTAGGGGACGTGCAGGAGGAAGTAGATCAATGACTCTCTCATCACTGATGTTTCTCTCTCTCTCTCCCTCTCCCTTCTCCTCTCTGAAATCAATAAATATATTTTTAAAAAGAAAAAAATAACTAAAAGTCTGAATATCAAATACCCATTTTTTAAGTGTCAGAGATGAACACTTGTGTAAGGACTGTTTTTCAGCATTTGAAAAATTCTTTGAATGGTCTCATACTGATAAGATAAATACTGACAAGATATGCAGTGAAGAGTAGCTGAAGACCGAAGGAACTATAAATACAGGTTATTGCTTCCTCTTATTTTTTACAATGTGAGTTCTGGTTACAAAGAATCCTATATTTCTAAAATGAATATAGCTGACATGTTGAATCTCTCTATGATTTTATAACTTATACTGCTGAGATCAAGTTCTGATCAGCTTCAATTTTTATAAATTTAAACAATGAAAACTATCCACAAATGTTAAAAGCAATTAAACTCCTATTAGAAAACCTGGGACAACAATTTTCCTGTCTTCTCAAACTGAATATTCTGATGAATAATATTTTAAGATCAAGTTCTAGTTTCCTGAAAAAGACATCAATTTCATGTAGTCAAGCCGTGACTATAAAATTATATGTAATCAATAAATAGTAATAATATGTCATAAAAATACTCTGAATTGGTTGCTGTTCATCCGAGAGCCTCAATACCACAGGCAAACATCAATTAAGACAGCCACTTAATATAAACAACACTGAATAAGTGAGATACATTCGAAATAAAGAAGTAAGTAATAAAGAGGTAGTAAAACATTCATAATAAGTAACTGATACGCGAACATCTCAGGGAACTTCTTCCATCCCTGCTTTACAAATATGAGAAACAGAGAGAACTAAATGATCAGGTTATCTAACACCCACTGAGTTCTTAGAGAGGGATCTAGAGGAAAATGTAGAAAGCCACAGGCTAAAAATCTTGACCTTAGTAATAGGAGACACACTGAAAATTCTAATAAGGGCAGAACAAGGGAACACCTGGACAGTTATTTAATTAAGTATCTCAGCATGAGTTATAAAAGAGAGATCAGGATGAGAAATTATTCCAAGATTTAATTGTAAAGGCTGACTGTCAAAAACGCCAGTGACATTCCATTTCTTCTACATTCGGACCCTTTAATTTGAAACATACAGATTTCAGTATGGAATATAGAATCAGAAAACTAATTTTAAAACAACCACCACCACAACAAACAGCTGGTTAAAGCCTCCTCGCAAAGATAGCCAAATTAGGTGCAAGACGGTGCTCCAGTGAGTACCACCTGGAGCACTAAGTATGACAAACTAAACAAAGCAAGGATCTAAGTTAAAATCACTGGCTTTCATCAGTAAGGTGGGAGATCAGAGCAAGCTACAACATTATGGGAATGATTTTTTTAAGAATACTGGAAGGTGTAATATTAATCTCAAGGAAAGGAATACTATAATTCAGAATATACTGCCCAACTAGGCTGAAGCACAGGCCTCAGTGGTTGGAAAATATTCACAGCTGCCAAGAGAAACCACAGAGGCTGGGTGGGTACCCATAACTCTGGCATCGGCATTCCTGGGGATTGATCCCCAGACGACCACACCAATGTTCCTATTCAAAAATGGAGGCCACTCCCTTACCTGTCTCAAATAGCTGTGAGTTGCATTAACCACCAAGCATCTAAAGGAAGGATGGAAATAAAAATTCCTTCCCAGGCCATTGTCATTGTGACCTATATACAGTGTTACCCTGCCACAACAAAAAAGAGAATTTCTACACTGCTACAATTATTCCGAAACAAGTTATTCTTCCTCTCTAGACTATAAGCTCCTTGAAGACAATTATTGATTACTCTGTATATCCCCCTCAGCATCATCTAACATAGATGCCATTAATATCTGTTAAAGAACAAATTAATTATTACCAACCTTTTCCCAGGTCATAAGATTCTTCCCATAACTGGCCCAATCAGATTGTCCTAACAAGTAAATAAACATAAGCTTCTCCCCATGATACTGTTTGATGGTAAAGCACAAAGCAGAAATTGGTTTGTGGCAATCAAAATAGCATGTATACGCTGCCTTGGAAACCACTAGGTTTCCACTAGGTTTGTCAGGCAAATGGCAGAAAGAAAACAGAAAAGGTTTTTCTGTGTATGCATCACATCAGAAAAGGAAGCTTAGCCCACCACTTAGTTGATAGTTCCTGCATCCACTTATACAATTGTATACAACATCCTTGAATAGCAGCCGCATCGGTGCTGTTTATAAGAGAGGGGTGCATTTGCAGCATTTTAAATTCCATTTTCAAGGAGGAACGTATCTGAGTATAATCAGACGAGAGTAATAAAATACACTGACCTGGATCTGTTGCTGCAGGAGATTAATTTTGTGCTGCTGTTGCAGAAGTTGCTGCTGTTGTCTTGCAATCTATCAGAAATAAAGTTACATTAAGTTAAAATGAAGTGCTTACCCCTTTGCCATTACCTCAGATATCTCTCCTGGTGTTACAAGAATGCTTTACTGCACTTCTATGTGAAAGAGTTCCTATGAAATGAGAGAGGCGGAATCAGAAACTCAGAGAAAAGGAAAAATTTCAAACGGTGCTACTTCTCTGCTTGCCCCTAACTCCTCAGCTGCAGATGAAAACCTGCCCCTTGTCTAAGGCATGTGAGCAGCTCCTCTACGTCTGCACCGTCATCTGGGAAGAATGGGAGTCTCCAACTCTGACCCTCAGAGAACAAACACGGAAAAAGTCTGGCTACTTTTTTCTAAAGAGCTTAATTTTAGGACTAAAAAACTAAAAATCCGTAAGCAGAGGCAGGAAAGAACTTTCTATTCATTACAACATAATCGACTTTGGTGAAACCTTTTCTATTGTAAAGACTTAGAACTCGTAAGACAAGTATCATCAAGGGAGTACCAAGAAAACACAGCCAAATATCAAAAATTGTTTATCTCTTTTTGTTCATTTACAAATGTACATCAATGATGTGATGTACAAAGCATTTTTTAAACAAAATTAATATTTAATCTGTTTATCCTTTTGAGGGTGGTATGTTATATTCTATTGCTTTATCCAACAATCAAATGCAACATCCTAACACATCCTCTGGTCTGTGGAAAGAAATATTAACCGGATCATGCAAGCCCCACTACAGACTGGATCTGCCCCTCAGCAGAGCAAACAACTACGTTAGGATACTGGTGTTTACTATAAAACATGAGTCAGGCATGAGGCCGCTCACTTATTGCCTCAAAAGCTGAGCTGCTATAGCTTGAAGCCCAGGGGGATGCCCCTTAGTGAGAACACACTCCAACGTCGTGAGAAAGCCAGAGAGAAAGTGGCCAGAGAGGACTTAGAAAAACTTGGTTTAGTGATGCCCTTTAGGCAAGAGTTACGGTTTTTCCCCCTATTTTTTGTATTTCCAAAAGCGGATATTCTAGAATGAGCAATGTTGGAAGTGAAAACGAGTGTGGATCAGCCCTCAGGTATATCCTTTGAGTCTTTTTGATGCTTTAGCCTAGAGCAGAGGGAAATACCCAAATCACATTTCCATTCAGCAGAAGATGGCAAAAAAGCAGGCTGCTCCCAAACGTTGCTTTAAGGTTTGTGGTGGTGAGTGGCTCATACTGGAAGTCAAGATAAAGCTATCCCTAACAGTTTGAGAAATGGGACCATTTCTCCCCAACGCTTTATAAGCAAAATGGAAACAGTATCTAATCAGGTTAGAAAGGCCCACTTTGCTTGTCACCATTCAAATCAAAAATGGACATAGGGGCATCGGGGGGATGGGTGAAAAAGGTGAAGGGATTAAGAAGTACAGATTGTTTGTTACAGAAAAGACATGTGGATGCAAAGCACAGCACAGGGAATATAGTCAATAATATTCTAATAACTGTATGGTGTCAGATGGGTACAAGATTTATCGGGATGATCACTTAGTAAATTATATCATGTCTAATCACTGGGGTGTACACCTGAAACTAATATAGTATTGTATGCCAATTATAATTGAAAAATAAAAAATGATTTAAGTGAAAAAATTTTGTAAAAGGAAATGGACAACTCACTCTGCAACTCTAGGTTTAGATGCCAGGTCCTCTGAATATTTATTTCCTCTAGCAAACCAGTGAAACACCACTAGGCATCTAATATTGATGGTCCCTCTGAAATGATAAAGTGCTGCACAGAAATGCATCCAGAACACCACAGTGCAATTACTATCATCCACTCTAGACGTGTGGGTTTGACACAGTGAAGTATGGTACATAAGCACCATGTGGCTCAAATTCTGAATTTTATTTGCCAATCGGTTGAGCTACATGCTCGCTTCATTGAGCATGACAACCTAGTTTTAAGTGTCATTTAATTTTCATTTTGAAATATAATTACAAAGTGTTCACTGTAAGATATCACTCGTCTGCAAATGTGTCAAGATTAATTTGTGCTAGCTTATTCACAAGTGTCAATAGTTAATTACTGTGTCATCTCTGGATGGCTAAATGACATTCTAACTTCTGATTTTTTACAGTGTTCCTTTATGTTCTTTTCCATTAGGGGCTGAGTCCATGTTCCTACATGTGGGCAAATATTCAAGCATATAAAATACCAGACGTCACAACTCATTAAAATCAACAGAGCATATATTGCTCTATATACCCCTATAAAATACACTTAACTGAAAAGATAATTCCAGTAATAATGTCAGATTCCTAAAAACTGCACATTAATTTGGGTCTGTCTGATCTGGAGCATCAGAGACCACTCTATAGAATCACTGTTGTTAGATTAATGTACCCTTATGAGACAGGAAAAACATTTGGGAAAGTGACTTATTTTTTCAAAGATAGACATTTAAACTTTGCTATTTTTTCTTCTTTCTCACTTCTATATCAATGAAGTTAAATTCTTATAGGAGCATGTGCTAATTTGTTTTCAATGATTTACCTGTGCTATAAATAAAGTAACCATATAATTTAGCATCCAAACCAGGATGCAAGCAGAGGGGGGATTATTAATACTTATTCTGGAAAACAGGCATTAACTAGGGCTATTCTGGGAAAACGGATATGTGACCCTGGCTTTAAAGTCAGAGAAAATCATTGGATCCGTGGGCCAGAAGGTCCTCAAAGTTTTCCTAAACCAGAATCCTCTTTTTCTGGATGACAAGAGTAAGGCCCAGAGAGAAGCAACTTACTCGTGGTTAAGCTACATTGGGAACCTGTGCTGCCTATGTGAATAAGTATCCCTGTGTAATTAATCACATCCAAATGTTCTGGAACGATGTTATCATTTCAGTTATGCCCAGTTGCTATGATGCCTTTCTTTGTCCTCTAAGTAACCCTGCAGTATTCGTGAAGACCCTGATTTCCAAAAGGCTTCTTTCTTTTCTTCCCTTCTTTTTTTTTTAGGAACTATGACAAATAAACCAATCGATGTGATTACTCCCTGAGCTTGGCACATTCCACATCTACAGTTCGTCAGCTCCTTTTGCAGGGCTCACCTGTTCTTGCTGTTGGCGAGCAAGGTCCATTTGCTGCCGTTGTTTCTCAATTTGTGAGGCTGCCAGTTTTTTCTGCTCATCGTGCGCTGCCAGGAGCTGCTCCCGTAAGCTGATCAGCTGGGTAATCATGGTAGAGAGCTGCCGTTCTTTTTCTGCCAGGCTCTCAGGTGTACCTAAAATGGAAACAAGAAGATATCTCACAAGTTTGAGAAACGTATGAATGAACTGGGGAAAGGTGGGAGGGGGCGCATTTAGAAAGGGACTACTCCCTAAGACACTTGAAGATCTGGGAGAGTGACTGGAGGTCACTGTGAGTGCAGGAACGCTACAGAGTAGCAATGGAATTGACGCTGGGGTTAGTCACTGCCCCTGCCAAGAACAAGTATGGTTGCCAATAAAATTCTCACTCACTTTCCTCCTGCTCTTAAAAACAAAAGGAAACAAAAAATGCAGAACTACTATCCCATTCTCTCCCTTTTGCCACACTCCTCTCCTCTCCTTCCCCAAATCTATAGGATCAAGCTCAGAAACAGATGATACTTAGTGCCAAAAATTAGAAACCGTGGGTTGTATTAATATTCTACAATCACCTCTACTCTCAGTGACTAGCATAGGATCTAAGACATAGTAGGTGCTTAATAAGTGTTATTTAAGGAATTTTCTGGTCACTGCCCTCATAAAATTTTTCTATTGTGCAAAGATCTGTCTCTGAAGCTCAGAAGTCAGAGTCACTTTCTTGGCCATGGAACAAACAAACAAAAATTCTAAACTAAAAAAAACTGCCTCGCCTCAGGTAAGAAAGGATTGAACCTGATTTTTTTTTTCCTGTGAGGGGATCAAGCTGAAGTTCCAAGTTCATCCTTAAAGGCAACAATGTTGCTTGGGGGCTCCCTCGCCCCTTTGTCATTCGTCATTCTTCAAAGGGAAAAGCACATTGGAGGCTGAAAAGGTTATGTATAAGGATGTGCTGTTTAATGAACATGATGTCAGTGAACACTTATGGTATGCACTAATGGTGCTGAACAGTCTTTTTATGGGCAAATTGCACAGCTCTCCTAAGTAAAGGGTATAGAATCCTTTTGTGAATCTAAATTAGAGCATTTTACCGCAGCATAAGATAAGAATTTCAACCCTCTGTATTTGAGCCACAGAGTTTCATTATGAAGAAATGATCTATGATTTGAAAGCTTTTCAGAAAGATGCCACCAGCTGTCAAAGGGGACAAAGATTGCCAATTTTTGTGCGTGTAGAAGAAGAGACTTCCAATCTCCTTATGAAACCCCCTTCATTCCTGCTAAGAGTGCACCAGGGTAATCTGAGAAACTAACAGTATTTTAATTAGGAGTGCCCATATTTCTTGAGCAGCCCCGTGGAGAAAGGGAGCCCTCAAAAGATGCTGGCCAGCACTTGTTAGTATAGATTCCCACAGGTTAAGACTGATGTCAGCAGAGAAGCTAGAACATTTAGGACTACCTTGGGATTCTTAATGCCAATGCAAGTCCTAAACAAGCAAACACACTGTCAATACCTTTATCCCTTAAAGATCACTGAGTGGAAAGATGACCTAAAATTAAAATTAGAAGAAAAATAAGATAGTTGAGATGATGTTAAAAAATGTATTCCACTGATAAGGGAACAAATACTGTATCAAGAATAGTAACCAAGCTGTCTTTCTAGCTACTCAAATTGATTTTTTTTAAATCAGATTTTATTTCAGCAATAGGAATTTCAGCTTGGTAAAAGAAAGAACTTCTTGATCCAGAAACATTAAAATACAAAAGCAGGTTCCCACAGGGGATCAAAAAATTTTTCAAAAGCACCACAAGTTCAGCCAACATATATGTTAATATATAGAGATGAGAAGACATAAAACAAGTATGAAATTAATTTATTGACTCATTTCATTCATTTTTAATTTTTTAAAAACATTTCCTGAATGGCACCTATATGCCGAGTACTATATCAAGAACTAAGGATACGGAAACCATGGTAAGAAAACGCAGAGTCCTCCCTTCTCATGCAATTTGTAGTCCAAGTGGGGAGACACCTTAACCAAGTAATCACATATATAAATGTAAACTACACCTAAATAAGATTTACAAACAAGACAGATATTTGGGAGTAAGTTTAACCAAGTGAGGGAGGGCCAGGTGCAGGGAGGGTATGGCCGAAAAAGTAAGAAATTAACGGATGAATAGAGTTAACTAGGCAAAGAGTTGGAGGTTGGTCAAGGAGTTTTTCAGGAGAAAACAAGTAGGCAACGGCCGCTGGGGTGGGGAAGGAGGGTTTCAGTGTGTTCCAGAAGGTGAAAGAAGGTAATACAACTTAAGCAAGGAAAATAAGGAGCGTAGAGTACTGGATGAGGCTAGAGAGGCAGAGAAAGGTCACACTGTTCAGCTCCTGTAGGCAATGCTAATCAACTTCATATTTATTCCAGAAGATTCCAAAATCACTAAAGTATTCTAAGCAAGGATGGTGTGGAGAATGGTTTTGAAACCAATGAAAATAGATAAGTGGCATACATGCACATTTTATGCCATGTATTTTCTGCAACATTCTGACCTACGTGTAACCTTCCTGTTCTACCTACCTACGTGAGGTAAGTTCAGAGGAAACTTACTGGGTACTGGGAAAGTTACTGAGCCTTAATTCCCGTTAGTAAAGAAGAGCATGCATTGGAAATTTGGGTCCAAGACCAATACAGGGACTGGAAAATGTTCTCTTCTCCCAGGTTTAACTATCAGTGTCTCTTCAACAGTGACCAATCACCATATTCCTCCTCCTCTGCTCAGGAAGAGACCCTGAGGATAACACCTACGTCACTTCCTCGCCTCTTCTGTTCACGGGGAAGCCAACAGGTCTATAGACGCACTGGTACTGCCAATGCTAATAGACATGGGTAGGTACATCCAAATTTACAGAATAACACCACTTTATGGAATCTTCTTACAAAACAGGTTTAAATTGTTTAATTATAAAAATTCGGTGGCATCTAAATTAGTGTTTGAACTTAAAAAAAATACATGTTTAAGAAGTAATTAAGTCAGATACCAATATTTTCAAATTGAGGATTTAGGTACCCAAATCAGTCTGTCACTATCTTTTCCTTAAATTTGAGGAGCACATGTATTTGAATAGATATGAGTGGAATGAAATGTAATAGAATAACCAACCTAAAATTACCCCTGAATGCAAAATTATATATATGTAATTATAATATATACATATATGGCCATACGTCGTTTGGGGGGTCAAGTGAAAGAGAAATCAATTTACGCCATACGACAGTTCACACTCTTTAAATGTGTACAACAATTTGTGTGTGTGCATGTGGTCATTTTTCTTTCGTGTACCCATTGTATTTGTTCACATGTAGTGGTTCCAACCCTGTGGTGCTGGGTTTTCTGTTTTCATTAACAGCAATATTGTTAGAAATATTGTAATAGAAATAACATTAAGTCTGAATCACACTGACCAACCAACCTGTAAACACAAGTTATTTTATCTAAAAAAAACCCACATGAGTTTAATTGAACATGCAACTTTGCCATGGCAAAGGAACTATAACTATCAGAGTTGTGGAAAATGTAGACAATTTATGGGACATAGTGGGGCAACCTAAATACTGTCCGGCTATGTTAAGGAAGACAAAAGACCATATAGAACGCTCTTCTGAGGTAGCTTAACTCTATGTGGAAAATCTTGTCTTGAATTGTTTTGAGGTCTGATAAAATCAACTTGGGAAAGACGTAGATCAGATCCTGAGGCCCAGCCCAGGCCAGCAGAGGTCATCAGTAGCTGCCTCATATCATCTGATTCACAGCCTTCAGGCTATCTTAAAACAATTCTCTAAAAAGCACTGCCAGAAATGTGTCTCTCCCACACAAAAACAGAGGTAGTTTCATAAACCACAAAAAAGGGAGCCAGCAAAGAAAAGGCTTCTGTACACAGCTTCTCTACAAGTCAGCGTGTCTGCTTTTATCCGATATCACACACAGTGCGCGCTTGACACTTTCCACTATAAACTGTATCTATTCTTCAACTCCAAAGACAGTGCGGCAGGTTTTTTTTCATGGGGTCGTCTTTATCCCCAAACCACATCTGTCTTGAGTTTCTCTCAGATTAGTCAGGTGGATCAGTGCTCCCCAGGGCCTGCTCCAGCTGAAGTATTTTAATTTGACTAAACACCTGATTTATTTTATCTCTCCGATGAGAAAGGCAGTTTGTCTTAATAGAGCCTGTCAGCCCACAGCCCCATTCACAGCAATTTACAGGCAGCCGGGGACGCGGGGAGAGAAGACTGCCGTGATTCTGTGTCTCACCCTCCTCCAGAAAGCACCTAAAAGCAGCTATTCACTGCTGCTGCATGTGGCATTTTAGAACTGAATTAGCTTTTTATTCAAGTAACTACACTTGTTGTGAATAGCTTATCTGTAAAATTGCTACATTCACTACTGATTTTATTAACCTTTGGCTCTATCACAAAATGGTCTTCAGTTAGGAAAGACCTTTAAAATTGACACATTTTTTTTCTTAGAGGCCTTTATTCCAGTGACTTCAGATTTACTGAGTTTGATCCATTGAATTCTTTACCAGTTGTACTTAAAATTTTGAGTCTCAATAGGAAGTCAATAGTGTGTAAATAAGGAAACACTTTTCAAAATGTAAATATGGCAGCAATTTCCCTCATCAAAAGTTTTCAAATAGCATCTTTCACTATAACAGTTTCAAAATCAGCCCTCTAGCTCCTTTTGGTCATAATCTGAAGAACCTGAAACAATTAGCTAAAATAGACTTTTTTTTTTTTTAACTTTACAAACTATAACTTCCCATCTCCATAGGCCCAAAGCCAACAGAGACAATTCAAAATTGATGAAAAATTAAGTAAAATAATAAGATAATTAGGAAAAATCCCTTTTTGATATAAAACAAAAAAATTTAAAAATAAGTTTAAAATTTATCACAAAAGTTAACACCACAATCTGCTAGCTAATTTTGCCATATGAAATACATATAATTACAATCAGTAGTGCTAGAAAGAAGACTGGACATTGGGAAATCACAAAAGACTCCATATCTGGCCATGGCTGGGTGGCTCAGTTGGTTGGAGTGTTGTCCCATTGTGCCAAGGATGAGGGTTCGATCCCCAGTTAGGGAGCTACAAAAATCAACC